GCATTGCAGATATAGTAGCGATATGATTGATATTGTTAAAGTTGCGTTAAAAAATCCAAATCACAGACACATATTATTACAGCTTCGAGGTTAATGCACATATCTTCAGGTTTAGAAATGTCCAATAATATGGCCGCTATAAGAGATCGTATTAATAATTTGAAATGACAGATTCTACAGAAAGGTCGAGTTGTAGGAAGAATTTTCTTTGATTCCAGCTCACAAACAGTGTCGAAGTACAAAAGTAATTTTCCATGACTGCATGGGTTAACCGAGGAGACCAAGAAAACATCATAATTAGTGCTTCTAGACTGGTACACCTATTTGTTTATTAATTCCTTCAACCTTTAATTGATCCGTAATCATGATTATTCTTGTTGTCTACCGGACACGAAGTGTATTCTTATCAAAGCTAGCCTTTCCAACATCTTACTTAACGGAGGCGTGTTATTCGTTTTAGGTGGGAAAGGATGATAATGATGATGATAATGAAATATAATTATATCAAGAAATTAATGGCATTAGATTAGTTATTTATTAATTATACACCAAGTTAATTGGTGATTAGTAAGAATTGATTTTTCTTAAGTTCGTTAAATCATGAGCTCATCTAATTTTTATTAATGGAGCCATCTTTGACAGTTTCTTCCGATTACTATTATTCTACATAAAATGAATTTAATAGGAAAAAGTGTGAGTGTGAAATTTTGATTTTTAACTTAGCTTTAATAATTCTTCAGTCATCTTGCTACCATATCTGTAGTGTAGCAGTTTATAGTGATATCTAGCACTGGGGCACCAAGAGAGAAATGTCAGTAACTGATCGTTGTACATGGTTTAAACGTAGGACAAACATAGTTTATTTAGTAAATAAAAACGTTGGAATGTCAACCACCTCTTGCACATCTTTTGTGACAAATATTTGTGTTCAAAAATGATCACAAATCACCATTTTGGAATTGTAATTATATTTGTTTTCATTCACAGTTTAATGTGCTTACACATGATAACAATGTGATTTTGCTGCTTGTTTTCGTATGGTGTGTGTGTGTGTGTGTGTGTGTGTGTGTGTGAGAGAGAGAGAGAGAGAGAGAGAGAGAGAGAGAGAGAGAGAGAGAGAGAGAGAGAGAGAGAGAGCTTTTAGCGTAGTTTTTTTTTTTTTTTAAAAATCAGTTATATCGTCACGATATCTGAAGTGTGGTAGTTTATAGTGATGTGTAGCAATCAGGTACCATGCCGCAGATATGCAACGTTATTTCCCACCCAGTCATATTATTCTGACACCAGGCCGACCAGTTCTAACACTGACCTCTTAATGTTGCGAACCTAGTGAGGAAGCTGCAAACACCATTTTTATAAGTCATTTGTATGACTCGGCCGGGGTTTTGTACCTGCGTCCGCCCCCCCCCTCGCAACCAAGGCGGACACTAACCACTGGGCCACCGGAGCGGTCACTTGTTTGTTAGAGCTGAAACTATATGTTAATGTTAGCAGTTTCGGGGGTGGTGGTGTAATTTTTTTATTTTTTTTATATTTTGCCTTGTGACAGATAACATCTATAGAAACCAGGAATGATTTACACCTAAACTATAATCAATAACAATTATTGCCAATCAAACAATATAGCCATAACATTGAGAGCTGGATTTGCGGCGTTTAAGCTCAGCTTCAATTTGCATCACTGTATTCTTTTCGTGTTCGTTTTATTCTCGTGTTTGAGGACCGTTCTCTTTTAACTATAGACTTATTGGGAATGAACTGTCTCTAATAAACTGTTTAGTGTTGTTTACGATATATTGTCTCCACTATCTACTGTCTGAATATAACTGTATCCCAAAATATAATTTGCGATCAACAAACTTGACGGAGACAGAAAATCGTATATGTAAAACTTTTATATTCATAGCATGGTAAAGAACACAAGAAATAAATAACAAAAAAATATATATATCATGTATCATAACGAAAGAACACTAATAGGTGTAATGCAATGTAATGCGTCCTTCACCCTACCTGTCTCCAACGAATTAACTGGCACAAATTATTTCTGACATTCAACATATTATACTTTCTCTTTCAAACTACTGTGTAGAGCCATCGAAGATACAGAAGTATAATAAAATTCCATATGTTATGATCGTGTCGTTCTCCAATCTAATCTTCTCGGTTTTAACAAATCAATACTATTGTGTGCTCGTTCTTGAATCAAAGATAATGTTATTTGACTTCATTATCGGAAACGATCTCACTCGGAATACTTTTTCTCGGTTTAGGTTAAATATCAGTTGTCAATTGACGTCATAATCCTTTTTCGATTTCTACTTAAACTTAAGCGTTATATTTTCCTTTTTCATTGATGTATTTATTCGCTTGTTATGTCCTTACATGTCAAACTTTTGCCATAGTTATTAGTCTTTGATACAAATATATTACTATACCTATTCATTCCTCATATCAACAATTATGTACCCTTGAAACTAAAGTCATTAGCAGATGATTTTACGATCCAGTAGTTATAAGATTACTTGAATAGACAATGTATGCAGTTTGTGCTTTTTCTGTGCACGTATGTTTAACAATATTTTCAAATCATTTGACCGAATTTATTTTTAATCGGTACATCCCCTACCAAATTAACTCATTAACCCCTGACAAATGTTTGTGCGTCAGGAGTTAGATAATTTTTCAACCAAAAAGTTCGCCAGTAATCGGAATTTTATTTTATGTCCATGTTTGAGACCTTTCTGGCCTCAGTTCAGAGGTAGACCGATCTGAGCTGCACACAGACGGGTGAACCTTTGCAAAAAGTATAAGTTGGGGATTTCAAGTAAATGTGCGTCCAGGACACGAAAATGATGGGTCCAAAAAGCAAAAATCGAATTCCAACTTTGCCCTTCTACACATGCGAGACCGGAATAGCCTTGAGAAACAACGTTTATAATGCAACTAGGAACGATGCTAAACGTAAATCACTTGGATGCATACTTTACTTGATGTATTTAGAAGCGGCCCAAAACAAAGTGTTTCCTATTCGTATTTCAGGCGAAAACGACAAAAGTCTACTGGGGTTAATATACTCCTTTCCAAATTAATACTCAAATCTGCGATCAATTATGATCCAATATGGCCATTGAGTGCATCAGTCTAAAATTGTTAGTTCTCGTCAACACATATAAGTGTTTTTAACTGAATGATGTATATGTTATAGATACTGTTATAACATAAATCAGAGTGAAACTTATCACAAACTGCAAACTAACATAAGAGAAAAAAGTCTCTTTGAGCAAACAAAAATAACCTTTTGTATCTTTTATATTTACCTCAAACACACATCAATCTGATTAAAAATAATATCTAGGTACCAACAAGTTGTCATGAAGCATATGTCCCAGTGACCTTTAATCTCTGTTAACAAATTGTCATTAGGCTGTCAATTAAATAAAGCGTTGCATAGCTTGCGGAAGAATTTTCGTTGGCAATTTTAAAATGATTGTTTTGCTCTTTGGACAGTGAGAATGCTATAATTAGATTTGTAAATCTAAAGGTCAGCAAACATTACCTCGTATCGGTGCTGGTCGGATTTACTCGTGAATACTTAGATTTCAATTTAAATCACATTGAAACAGGTTTGTCTATATTTACATGTCACTAAATGATCTAGACGTGTTTTACGTCTTATTCAAAGAAAGAAACAATTATTTATCTATTACAACGCTTCATGGGGTTTATTCCATTATTGCTGCTTTGAATAGCAAAGTTCTTATAGAATGCTTCTATGGATTTTTTAAAAAAATTAATTAGACAAGTCAAAATGAAAGGAAACGAAGTCAAATAAAGAATCATTACCTAGAAAAGATCATTGTCTATTTATTTTACTAATTTGTCAATGTTGTCAAAGCGTAAGTTATGAAATTCACTTTTATTTATGTGTCATGCCATGACTATTTAACATATCTGAAAGTAACTGTATAATCGCATGTCAAGCAAAATAGAAAATGATATTACACAGAGTTAAAATTATAAAAGAAATATCTTCTGTATGATGTGTTACGTGTATGTTTGTTTTCATTTTGTCTTTGTTGATATTTTTGCTTTTTTGCCGTTTGTTGGGGGGGGGTAGTTTCTGGGATTGTTATCAATTATTACTTAATACATATATAGGCACTGTAGAATTTTCTCTCTCCCAATTTTAGCTGACAAATCTATGCCTACAACACATATAGTATCAGATAATGTACTCTTTTATTCTCTCACCTTTCCAGATGCATTACGGTACACTAAAAGATTAAACGATTTTCTTAACCATATTATAAGTTTTCAACATTTGCAGATCCATTCCGGTATATTAATGTATGAAATTTCCATTATAATCTTAAAGAGAACTTCAAGTTTTCTAAGGTGTTTGCGTTTCCTTTTAATGGTTTTTAATATCGCTGAAATCTAATGGCAATAGTATATATTTGGAAATAAACTTTTAGACAAGTTTATTATGATATTGAACATAAATTTGTCTTTCATCGCTTTGAAATTACTTACTCTTTATAAATATAATTTAACAAATTACTAACGGGCCCATCCACGTGAATGTGCGTGCGTGTGTGTTTGTATGTGTAATAATGATCAAAGAAATAATAGGTCCATATGTCGTTTAAAATCCAAAAGGATATCAGTTATGTTCTTTATTTATATGTTGTTGTTGTTGTTGTTGTCGTTGTTGTTGTGGGTGTAGCTCAATTTTTAAAAACAAGATAGCCTAGATATGTCAAACAATATATCTGTGGTATGAAGTGACCGGTGAAATCGTGTGATGAAACAAAAACTGTTACTGGCAGGCACTCGCACACCAACGCTGACCGAGCTCAAGCAGACTGTGTTGAGATATCGGTAATCTGTAAAGGCGACCACCTTGGACCAATCGGCCACACCTTTCATCCTTTAAATGTGTGATTTGGATTTATCAGCAAGGCAGCTGTTATTAGAATTTGCGTAAGTATTTGGTATGACACGGCCTGGGATCGAACCCACGACCTCCCGCATATCTCGCGGACGCCCTAACCGCTAGGCCACCGGAGCCGTTCATCCTTTATATTAAATATTTTTAAAGTATAATGTGTCTACTTGGTTCTTTTTTTGTGAAAGCTCTTGAAATAATAAAGGATGAATGTAACTGAAATCGCCTGTGTCAATGATTTATTAAGAAAAATGCAAGAAACTGACAACGAACAGGTCTGAAGATGTGTCTAAACATTTTATTAACTAAGGTTACGGCAAAGGCCATGTTAGTGGAGCAAAGCAGCGGTGTCTAATTAAAATAACAATAAAATGAAAAGGTTGATAGGATATTATTTATGCTGACCCTCCATCCAAATAACCCCCCACAAAGGTAGACTCAAGTCAAGAAAAAAACATGGGTCCAACGCTATCTTGTTAATCCTGTAGCGTACTGCATGCAGCAGACCGAAAAGCCTCAAGGACGTCCTTGTCTTAGCAAAGTTAAAACCAATCACAAACCAAGACCATCTAGTTACATCAAGTCCCCGTGATGACCAAAGGTATACAACATGTTAACATGTACTAGAGACCAACACATTCTCTAATATAGTGACGAAAGAAAATTTTAGTATGCATGGTTCAAACATAACATGCAAAAACAGAAAATGTATTTTTTTTCTTCAAAATCCCATTCCTTGTAACATTTGACACTTTCGGTATTTCGGTAAAATCTAAAAGCACCGGAAAATGGTCAATCTCCACATATTTGATTGGATGACATGGAAGATCGCGTGTAGTTCAGTAGCAGAAGGTATCATCTCACCTGTTCATACATTGACATTATACTAACTGCAATTGCCTACAACCACAATTTGGAATTCCAGAAAAAAAGAGATGTCTTGATGGCAGAACCTTCTAAGAAAACTGAACTCAAATGGTTTAAATCACAAAGACTCCAGCTGACTTCCACGCGCAAATAAAATAAAACAAATTTCCGTTTTCTGTTTAGAGGCCATATTTTCAATCAAATAAATGATTCGTTTAGTTCAAAATTATTTTATTTACATATAATTACTATTCTTTGTGGCTATTGTTGGCTTTAGTATAGTTGTTATAGTTATTGTTAAACAGGTGACATGAAATTATACTAAATATAATCTACAGCTATATCGTTTGATATAGGATAGACGATGTTTTCGCCCCTCATTTCGTAGGTGAAAATCAATTAGATTGTCATTTTATTATGTGGGTTCAGACAAATAAGACACGATATCAACAATCTGGAAATGATTAAATAATACGTCTGTAAGATCAATAATCATCCTTTCTTATTTAAACTTTGTCTTTTGTGTCTTTTATTTGTTTCGTTTGTCTCTGTTTTGAATGTTGATTTGGACAATGACTAATGGAGAGTCGATATCAACAAGGCAATAAAAATTAGTTTTGTACTACTCATTGTCAATTTCCTGTGTGTGTGTATAAGTGCGAATATATATATATATATATATATATATATATATATATATATATATATATATATATATATATATATATATATATATATATATATAGATGCAATAAACTGACGACGAACAGTACGAAACTAGTAACTAACTAGCCAAAGTGCTTTCGACTATTAATGTGTCTTTTTCAAAGGCAAATACAAAACATATAAACGACAAACAAATAAAAACAAAAACGTTGTGTTTGTAAACCTCTACATTACTAGTTACTAGTTTCGTACTGTTCGTCGTCAGCTTATTGCATCTATTTTAATCAATCCCTGACACACGTGATCCCTTGGTGGATCCAGTAGGCTTGAAAGGGTTGTTATTCGCCATATGATTTGTATTCTATATATATATATATATATATATATATATATATATATATATATATATATATATATATATATATATATATATATATATATTACTGTACATAGTCTCATTAATACCCAGGAATGAATACAATTAGTTTGCTTAGATTAAAAACCTATTTTCAATTTACGTCAGAATCTACTCTCGATCTTTACTTCACTCTAGCATGTGGTTTACAGGTACTTTTAAACTAACTCTTTTTTAATTGTAATGGCGCTTAAAGTGAAGACTGAGTTTCACATTCTGCCATAGTCGCTAAATATGCAACTCTGACGTCTGGCGATTTGCTTTCCCATTTTGGATATTAACCATACGCCGAGGTCACGTCTGTATGTTAATAGCAATACATTAGCTCGCAATATGAGCCCCATTACTTTGGTAATTTTCATCACTTATTGATGTCAGTCTAAAACATCGCAAGCAAATAATTTAAACTAAGCATAATTCTTTCAAAACGTGTGCTAATGTGTGTTTCTTATCTTCAGTGTTCAATTGCCGATGATTATTGGAGCACTCCCGTTATTAATTCTTCATTTTCGGAAGTGCGTAGTTTTCTATGTTGTAAAGCTCTTAAGCTTAGGAGATAAGTAAATCTTGCTTGTAATTAGCAATCCTATAATGCCTCAATAGAAGTGATTGGTCATTAAAACAAATTCCGGAATATGTGAAGTTTGGTGAGTTTGATTATGAGCTTTTACCAAAGAACAAGCAGTGCTATATCGTGTGTTTCCTGCTAAACACGAATATGTACCGTTGTGAATGAGGTTATTAGCAGTCAGTTTTAGCGGTCATTGCCCATACAATTATTTACGTAGTGTAAAATCTATTGACCTTATGGCCATTGTTAACAAGTCATACAGAGGGAACAATTAATACACAAGCTGGCCTGGATTACCCATTAAGCACACTGAGCACGACTTTAGAGACACAGCCTAAAGAAGTGCATCAGAAAAAGTTCAAATTAATTGAGAATGATAAAACTGAATGAATTATATATGACAACTTCGATCTGCATGTACAAGCATTTGTATTTGGAATGATGACAAAGCTGGTATTTCAGACCGTTTAAGGTTTTCAGACCGTCTTAGCTTTTAACAATTGTGAGGGTTTCTTGTTCTTTTTTATTCATTTTCACATTTAGTAGGGGTGGGAACCATAATAATTTCAATGCTTTGTCCCTGGAATGCCTTAACCCGGTATTGTTAAAAAATTAATGATAGCCACTGACGAGAACTTTGTTTTATAATGTTTTTGATGACTTTTATTTCGCAATATTTCCAACATAATTTCATTAAATCTAGTCCAAGGTTCGCACTTTTTTTAAGTAATAAAATCTAAAGGTTGTGTTCCAGTATGGCCGCTTATTCCATCATACAGAAGGGATCTGTTTTCAGTGCTTAATTGTGCAGATAATAAATCTTTCCAAAGAAATTTCATAGAACATACGACATGATGAAACGCGATAGTTAACTTTGGAGATTCTTTTTGTAAAAGTTTTTTTTCCTATGGACAATAAAAATTTACTCTATGATTGCTGATACTGATATCAGGAAATTAACTTTACCTCATGTGTATATGTTTCTCGGGGATATATGTCAATTAAATAATTTTAGGCTTTTATAAAAGGTAAAAAGAAAACTGGAACAAAAACATTTAAAAATTAAATCCTACTTTTTATTACCGTTTATAACAAGTATTGTCTTACGACTGTTCCTTGCAAAATAAAGTGGACTTTTAACACTGAAATGGTTTCAATTCAAACATATTGCAAACTTTCCGTGATCAACACTAACTAAGATTTAAACTCAATTCCGACCGTCTTGCGTGTATGAACAGTTTCAGACATTATCAGACATCTTGACGCTGAGTACCGGTTCTTCAGTCGACGAGGTTTCTAATTCATTTCATTCTCCTAATGACAATTTATGATTAACATTAGTTCTTGCGGTCAAAAGAGATGACGTTTCAAATAACAAAGGAAGAGTCTTTCTGATTCATGCTAAGCGCAAATATATGAAATGATCATCTAATACTTTAATAGTGTCTACGGGTATCTAGAAAACCCATTACAGCATTCCCTCACTATACAGCCCTTCTTTATAACACGGTTTCTTTTATAATGTGCACATAGTGATAAATTTTATTCTGAAACGCTAAAATGATCATATGCATAATATGCACTGTTATAAGGCGGTATACTTCATTGCTCCCAATACGACGATATACTTCATTGCTCCCAATAAGACGATATACATCATTGCTCCCAATAAGGCGACATACCTAATTGCTCCCAATAAGGCGGTATACCTCATTGCTCCCAATAAGACCGTATACCTCATTGCTCCCAATAAGACGGTATACCTCATTGCTCCCAATAAGAAGGCATACCTCATTGCTTCCAATAAGACGGTATACCTCAATGCTCCCAACAAGACTAGATACCCAATTGCTCCCAATAAGGCGGTATACCTCATTGCTCCCAATAAGACCGTATACCTCATTGCTCCCAATAAGACGGTATACCTCATTGCTCCCAATAAGAAGGCATACCTCATTGCTCCCAATAAGACGGTATACCTCAATGCTCCCAATGAGGCGATATACCTCATTGCTCCCAATAAGGCGGCATATCTCATTGCTCCCAATAAGGCGGTATACCTCATTGCTCCCAAGAAGACGACATAACCAATTGCTCCTAATAAGGCGGTGTACCTCATTGTTCCCACTAAGGCGGTGTACCTCATTGTTCCCACTAAGGCGGTATATTTCATTGCTCCCAATAAGGCGGTATACCTCATTGCTCCTGATAAGACGGAATACCTCATTGATCTCAATAAGACAGTATGCCTCATTGCTTCCAATAAAGGGGTATACCATACTGCTTCCAATAAAGGGGTATACCATATTGCTCCCAATAATTTGCTATACCTCATTGATCCCAATAAGATGGTATACCTCATCGATCCCAATAAGACGGTTTGCCTCATTGCTCCCAATAAAGCGGTATACCTCATTGCTCCCAACATGGCGGTATGCCCAATTGCTCCCAATAAGGCGGTATACCTCATTGATCCCAATAAGGAGGTATACCTCAATTGCTCCCAAGTAGGAGCTTTGTCTTTTTATTAGATTGTTTATGTGCACGTGTATATATTTCTGCTTCTGTTTGTCTTACTGACCACTAGTCTCTGTTTTTATTCAT